AAAGCCAAAAGTTGTCCTCAGACCTCCACACACATAGGTATGTACATGGACACACACACACACACACACATACACACACACACACACACACACACACACACACACACACACACTAATAAAATTAACAGTAGATGATGCATAAAACAAGAGTAGCTTGTTTTATGCATCCTGTTGCATGGTTTCTTGCTCTCTGCTGCAGGTGCCTGCAGAGGGCCTTCCGGGTGGCTTGGCTGTGGAATTCCTCTACCACGGAGAATTTTAGGAAGGTCATCCTCACAATTAGAGAGGAGATGCTTCCGGAGGAGAGTTACAGTAGCCCTGTAGAATGTTCACTGGGTTTGGGGAGATGACGGGGTGAGGTCCCTGAGACAGGCTAGCTGTCAGAGGTGTGGGGTGGAGAGGAAGTGGAGGGATCAATAGTCTTCATGCTTCTCCAAACTCTCTGCATCTTCCGGTGCCCGCCCCAAGTCTGGCGGGCCAAGTCCTGAGTTGAAAGGAGACAGTGAGGTTACACTCATTCCTTGAACCTGCCCAATAGTCTTCCCCAGAGTCCTCCACTCCCACGACAACGTCAGCAAGCTAATCCCGACTTGTGAACATCGTCCTGTGCTTTTCCCTTTTCCTCTGCTTCCTCCTCATCTTCTTCCTCTCTTCCTTGTCTCCTCCTTTTCATAAAACATCTTACAATTATAGCCCAGGCTGACTTCAAACCCAGGATCTTCCTGCTTCAGCCTCCTATGCTGGAATTCTGGGTGTGTGCTACCACACCTGGCTGCTGAAGTTCGCCCTTACCCAGTGACAGCTCAGGAGTTGCCCAGGTTACTGATGAAGGCAGGGAGATGGGAGTGGGGGACAGTCTCCACACTCCCAACATAGGTTCCCACCTCTCTCAGCCTTCCCGGCACCCTCCTCTGTGCTGTCCCCTGATCCCAGATCACGCCCCCTCTCCTGCCCTTTCTCCTGTTCACATCACCACCGGCTCACTCTCAGAGGTCAGCATACTCCGCTTCCATTTCATCTCTTCACTGTGGACTAACGGCCCGACGGAGGAAGGCCCTTCCTCGGAGCTTCTGAGCTGCCCACCCTTGTTGGCTGTTGGCTCGGTCGCACATATTCCTGGGCAAGGCTGTCTCACCTGCTTCCCGGTTTCCTTGGAAGGCTATGGTGTGCAGCTCATGGGAAACTTCTTCATAGACACGCTAGGTTTGAGGGAAGCCTCCTTCTCCACTGGTGGGGTAGAGTTGCTCCTCCTAGGTTTATCTTAAGGCTTCTGGAAGACTCTTTTTTTTCCTTAGTCAGGGCCTTGTAGCCCAGGGTGACTTTGAACTCTTTTTTGTTTGATTGTTTGTTTTGACAGAATAATTTTTTTTATTTTTATTTTTATTTATTTTTTTTTTTTTTTTTTTTGGTTTTTTTCGAGACAGGGTTTCTCTGTGTAGCTTTGCGCCTTTCCTGAAACTCGCTTTGGAGACCAGGCTGGCCTTGAACTCACAAAGATCCGCCTGCCTCTGCCTCCCGAGTGCTGGGATTAAAGGCGTGTGCCACCACCGCCCGGCTATAATTTTTTTTATTATTTGACAATTTCATACATGTAAGAAATGCACCTTGGTCATATGCACCCCCAAACTCACCCTCCTGTTCCCCCAGGCACCCCAGCAGCATGTCCCCCTTATTTTCTTCTCCTTTTCTGTTGTTAATATAACCCACTGGGTCCGACTAACGCTGCCTGTTGGAATGCTGATGGGTCCTGTGAACTTGATCTTACACGCGGTGATCACAGCTGCCTGCGGTGAGTTCATGGGTACAATGACCATGTCATGTCCCCAAGACAGCATTTCCCAGAGTCCCTCCTCATCCTCTGGTTCTTCCTTTTCTCTCCACCCCCCTTTCGCAGTTGAACTCTTTTTTTTTTTTTTCTTTGAATTTTATTATTACTGTGCCGGATGTGGATGTGGGGTGTGGAGGGCAACTTGTAGGATCAGCTCTCTCCTTCCACATTGACCTGTGTGGGTTCTGGGGGACCAGACGTGTGCGACAAGCCCTTTACCCACTGTATGATTTCTCAGTCGTGCCCCACCCCGCCCGCCCCCTGCCTTGAACTTGAAGTCTTCCTGCTTCAGTTTCCCGGATGCTGGAGTTACACACACACACACACACACACACACACACACACACACACACAGGCGCCACCACGTCCACTTTCCCCTGAGAATCTTATTTTCTCCACTGGACTTGCACCTAAACTAGACTTGAAGCTTACCTAGCGGGGGCTAGAGGCCCTGCTGTTAGGAGGAAGGAGCCCTAACCTCAGGTCAGGAAATACTGCTACTCCCCAGCACCTGGGGAGGCTGCCGGAAGTATTCTAAGTGGCTGCTACCGCAACTCTGCAGCGAAAAGTGACCGGCAAAGAGAGGATCAGCCTCCAGGCTGCCTCTGGACAAGTTGCTCCCACTCTCTCATTACCATCTGCTGAGCCCCACACTGAGGACTCCTGCGCCCTCTTGATGACAGAGCTGAGAAGCAGCAGCCGTGACTGCCTCCCAGCGGCCTGAGCAGCCATCTGCTTTTAAGGTGCCCAGCAGCTCTGAGCTGCGGCAAGCAGAGACTAGCTCAGACTTCCCCCCCAAGAGCCAGACCTGCAGCTGGTGACTCAGCATGGGTCAGAGGAGGGGAGGGGTCTGGGGGAGTCACACGGGTGGGGGGAGTAGAACTTGGGGGCCCAAGGAGGCAGCATTGATGATAACAAGAGTCTAAGCCAGGCTGCTGAGTCCAGCAGCAATTCTGCAATCCAATGAATTCACAGTAATTCCATTAATGTCACTAACTCCTCTCTGTGGGTTTAGAAAAACAAATCCCTTACTTCAGGCTCCCTAAAGATGCAGCCCCAAACAAGATGCGAATACTATACTCACATGACCTGCCCCCCTTTCCTTGTATAGGACTCACCCCACCCCCAAAGCCCAAGCAATTACGCAGGAGCCTCCAGAATGAGTGGGTTGAGATTTGCCTTTATTTCGTTTTGATTTGGGAGTGGAAGGCTGAAGCATAAAGATGATGCCAACAAAACAGGCACTGGAGTGACCCCCTGCACATGCAGAATACACGGATGCTCACTCTGGATCAGCCATGGACTGACAGCCCTACAAAGAGAATGTCCCTGTCACCGTGAAAGCCCCTTACCCTCATTTTTATTACTTTCAAGATCCGTATCCACCCCAGCTTGCCTTGCCCTTCTCCGTTATTAGATCTTTCAACACCCTGGGCTCTTTTGTTTTTTAGACTCCTGTGGGCTCAGAGCCCCACCCCAGTGTAAACATGCATCCCCTGGGGAGAAAGTGAAACCCACACAGGTTGCTGGAGCTGAGGCAGCATGCTTCATAGGTGATCCACCCGCTTGGAAGAAAGGCTGCCTCTTTTCACACCAATGAGAGATGGGAGGGAGTGCTCAGCTTGTATGTCACGGTAGGACCCTGGCCCTGCCGGTTCAGCTAGAGGCACCTTCAACCTCTTCCCTTGGGAAAAAGACACGTGAGCTAACAGCTACAGCTCCCTGTGGACCAGTTAAACCACCATTTTCCTCTTGCTCTGCCAAGAGGATGTCTGAGGTTTGAAGCTTCCCCCTAAAAAACCTGGCTGCAAGCCTCCCGAGCAATTTATGGGCCCCATGGAATGTGCTTGCTACAAACCCCCAGCCTCCAGCCTCCCTGCATTCTCCCAGGGTAGCCTTGGGTTTCTCTCAGTATCTCTCCCCATGGTTGGATGTGGTGACCCGCCTTGGAGGTGACAGGGGAAGGGGTCAGGTGCCTTTGCTCTCTGTCCTCTCCTCATCAGCTGTCTGAGCATTGCTGACCGTGCGAAGCTGCCCCTGGGCCGCAGGTTTCACCGACAAGACCAAGCGTTTTCGAAAGGTCTCACAGAGTACTATGTACACAAAGGGATTGAGGCAGCTGTTGGCGTAGCCCAAGCTGATGGCCGCGTTGTACAAGTAGACAAAGGTGAGCGTGGGGCGGCTGATGGACAGCTGGGTCAGCTGCAGCACGTAGTAGGGCGCCCAGCACACAAAGAACACCAGACAGATGGCGATGGCTGTGCGGGTCACCCTCTTCGTCCGAAGCCGGATGCTGCGTTGCGAGGCTGGGGCCACCGAGGACGTCATGCGCTGCAGTATTTTCACGTAGGCGGCGGTGATGACCACAAAGGGTAGAGCGAAGGCCAGGAAAAACTGGTAGAGAGTGAACCAGTAGAGGTCAGTGTCTGGGTTTGGCAGGCGGATGCCACAGCCCACAGCACCCCCTGGGAAAGGGATGAGCCTGGCATACAGCCACACCGGGGTGATGCTGACGAAGGAGAGAGCCCACAAGAGGCAGATCACCAGGGTGGCCATAGAGGGCTTCCGGAACTTGGTGGAGGAGATGGGGTGGACGGTGGCCAAGTAGCGGTCGATGGCCATGGCGGTCAGGATGTAGGTGCTAGTGAACTGACTGTTGGCATCCATGGCTGTGATGAGGGTGCACATGGTTTCCCCAAAGTGCCAGACCCCATTGCCCATGAGCTGATGGATCATGAAAGGCATGCCCAGGAGGAAGAGCAGATCCACCACAGAGAGGTTAATGATGAAGATGTCCGGGACATTGCTGCACCAGTGTAGCTTGGACCTCTTCACCACGGCGAAGATGACTGTGGAGTTTCCCACAATGCCCAGCAGGCAGATGGTGCCAAACACGGAAGGCATAATGATGTTGATGTAGGAGACGCTCCCTTTGCGAGGAGGTGACCCTGAGGACGCGACAGAAGGAGCACGTGTGACCTGCCATCTGCTCTGGAAGCTGACAACCTGCCCTCCGATGGCCCCCCCTGCTGACCTCTCAGGATCCCTACTTCAGCTTGAGGTCACTGTGCGTCATCTCTACGGTCCTCCCTCCCATGCTATTGTTAATTCTGTCCCTTACTCTCCTCCACTGCTTCCTGGTGAATACTCCTACCGAATTTTCTAGACCCACCTGTTACTCAAAGGACCTTCACTTCAGCTCAGAGGGCCAGGAGTCAAGACGCCCAGATGTCTGCTGAAAACAACTTCACATCCCTGGGATTCACCAGGAAACCTTGTCAAAAAACCTTGAAGGACATTCAAGAATGTCCATGTACGTACATGTGTGTGTGTGTGTGTGTGTGTGTATGAGTGTGTGTGTGTGTATGTGTGTGTGTATGAGTGTGTGTGTATGTGTGTGTGTGTCTGTCTGTCTGTGTCTGTGAGTGAGTGTGTGTGTGTGTGTGTGTGTGTGTGTGTGTGTGTGTGCGCGCGCATGCGCGTGTGTGCTGTTTTTCTTGTTTGTACTCTCATCTTTTCAGAGATAGCTGACCAAAGGGTTTATACAGATTCCTAGGCATATCCAAGGAATGACTGTCACTATGGGTGTGGGGTGTGTTTTAGGTTCAACAGCCCAGCCCTCTCCCGGCGTCCTGACAGGGATTTCCGTGGGCCATGTCTCCCGAGCCTGGGCTTCCCCAGCAGGGCTCAGACTGACGCTGTGTTATACCCCAGAAGCTTGAGAATTTTCTCCACACAAGCCCTTCCCCTTCCCCTTCCTCCCCTTCTCCTTCAAAGCTAGAATTTCAGGGCATTGCCTGAAATTCTGCAAATGTCAAGAAGCTTAATTCACCAGAAAAGTTAATCCTCTCACGCCCTGTGAAGTCTTTTGCTCCCAGCAGCCTCTGCCAGAGGACAGCCAGGACCACTCAGACCCCATTACCCCAGTGCAAAGCCAGAGGATTCAGCCCAGGGTAGCGGTGAATCAAAGAGCTTCCGCTGGCTCCCACATGCTCCCCGCCCGCTTTCTTGCTTGCTTTTCCAGCCTTGATTTTTCCCCCCCATGCAAAGCCTATTTGGGACTCATCAGCAAGCTTTACCCCTGTCTGCCTCACGCCTCGACACCAACCCTTGCTATTTCTAGACGTGCCTCTGCCCCATCTCTATTCCTTCCTAACCCTTCTGTCCTAGCTGGTATCAGCTGCTCCTCTCCTCTTCCCATCCAGGCAAAGCAGACTGCAGATCTTATCACCGAGGAGCTGTAAGTTAAAGTTTCCTAAGCAGTTTGGCTCTGGAGGTGAAACCTTCCCATTTTCCACACCCATCCCGGAGGAGGGAGGACTCTAACTCCGACTCACCGGCCACTGTGAGATTATCCTGGCCATCGGAGACGTTGCTGGCATTGGGGCCAGTGGACAGCAACGAGGCTTGCAGATCCATGCAGCCGGTGCAGGTCGCCTGCTCCCTGGAGTTGAGCGTCCGTCCACCCACGCAGGCTGCGGCAGCCTCCAGTGCCTGCCACCGCCTTGTCCCGAACGTGAGCCAGCCCTGCAGTCCAGAAAAGGGTCTTCCTCTACCGCCTGGCAGCCTCTGCTGCCTCTGAGCCCAACTGCTCGCCCCACTCCCTCCTTCCCAGCTCCCACTGACATCACCTAGACACATTAACATTCGGAGGCAGATGCACGTTAACCTCTTCGGTCCCGGCTGCGGCTCCCACTCCTGACTGCCTGCCGAGCAGCAGCAGCGAGGCTCAAGCAGCCCCTTGCCAACAGCCTTGCTTCTCACTGGCTCCTGGGGCTGTCTCCTGAGCTCACAGGGGTTGCCAAGCTCGCTTTACATGACCCTCCAGGTCTCAGGCAAAGGCAAAAGGGAGAAGCAACCGACTGCCTACCCTGCCGAAGCAGGACCATGTGGCAGGAGTCAGGGGTACTGTTCCCAGTGCTGGGGACTCAGGGGCTAAGACTGAAGCACCCTTGGTCCTCACGCAAGCTGGAGGTCACCTTAGACCCTTCCTGTGTCCTGGTAACTTCCAAACATCTCCTTGGCTAGGTGGCGATTTCTAGCCCTTGCCAGGTGGGCCAAGGTGATTCTGGGCTTTCTGCGCTGGCAATAGTCAGGGTCTGGGGTACAGAAAGACCAAACTTCCCTCTATGCAGCATCAGTCTGGACCAGTTATGGAGGTTTTATTTTCTAGTGCTCTGAGATCTTTGAGGTTTTTGTCTGGGACTCTGAGACATTTATCAAAGCGTAAGAGAATAAGTCCACACTGAGATTAGCAATGGGCAGCAGCCTCAGCATGCACAGGCCTTAGGGAATTTTCTGCAGAGGTTCCTGCTGCCAGCTCCAAGAGAGTCATAATAAACCGCAGTCACGGCACCAGGACCAGATCCAGAGTCTGACTCCTTGGCTGCCATGGTTGCCTGTTAACCCTTATTAATGGACACAGAGGCACAGAGAGAAACCCCTATAGCTCCCTTGAGTTCCAGCCATTCTCTTCCTTTGGACATTGGACATTAGCATGCTTAGTTCTTCAGGCTAAGCCATTGATTATCCCTACCAGCTATTAGAGCTCCTCTTTCTTGGCCTCTTGGTTCACCAGCATGAAGAGCTTAACCAAAGCCAGACAGGGGCTAAGGATGTACAGCTCATTTGGTAGGGTACTTGTCTCCCAGGCAGAAGCCCAGGGTTCTCTCCCCTGCACTCATAAAACGGACATGGTGCATGCCACCAATTCCAGCACTTAGGAGGTAGAGGCAGGAGGGTCAGAATGTCAGGGCCCCTCATCCCCACCCCCCACAAAATCAGATGATAGTTTAGCCACGGCTGTAGTGGATGGTTAGTACATCTCTAATGGAGTACCCCAACTCTGCGATGACCTCAGACCTACATGTCCCTTGTGGAGTTAGTGAAGGGGATGCTGTGGTGGTTTGAATGAGAATGGCCTCCACAGGCTTCGTCCCCAGTTGGTGGACCTTGTTTGGAAAGGATTACGAGGTGTGTCACTGGAGGTGGTTTTGAGGTTTCAAAAACCCATGCCTCAGTTCCCAGTTATCCTCACCCCCAACCCCCCCAACCCCCAACCCTCCCACCCCCCACTCCCCCACCCCGTTTGCAGATCAGGATGTAGCTGTAGCTGCTCCTGCTACCACACCTCTGCTCCACCATCTTGGACTCTAACCCACTGAGAGCGTAAGTCCAAACTAAACACTCTCTTTTCTAAGTTGCCTTGATCGTGGTGTCTCAACAGCAATAGAAAACCAAGACAGGTTCTGGCTGAGCTTCCCTGGAGGACAGACTGGTGTGTCCTTCAGCCTCCCGTGGTCAATCCCACTCCAGCACTGCACTTCTCAGAGTCTTCTGACTTCTCTCTCAAAACTCTGCCCAGCCCCAGAGGCCAGTGGAAAGGATCAGTGGGGAGTTATTGTTGAATGGGTGCAGAGTTTCTGTGTACGCAGTGGGAGAGAACTTCTAGAAACAGATGGTAATGATGGTCGAGTGGCGCTGCGCGTGTACTTAATACTGCTGAATTTGACACTTGCCCGTGGTTAAGGGAGTGTGAGTGTATCTCAGTGGTAGAATGCTTGCCTGGTATGTTCAAAGCTCCTGGGTTCAATTGTCAGCAACACATATACAGAGTTAACATGGCCCATTTTATTTTATGAACGTTTTACCACAATGTTAAAAAAAAAATTAATGGTAAATGTATGTATACAACCTAACAGCCATGTGAAGACACCCAAATTCTGCCAAGGTGGCACTAGTTCCTTTGTAGTGTTACTGGAGGCCACTTCCTGGAGCCATCCCAGAACTATTTTAGCGCTGGCTCCAGGGGTCCTTCCAGGTTTCTTCCAGCCCATGTAGTAGGGGCATCCCTGCCAAGAAATGCTCTCCTGTTGTTGTTTGTTTCTGCTGGGTTTTTTGGGGGGTGTCACCCAGGTCCCAAGTAAATCACACACGAAAGCTTATTCTTAATTATAAATGCCGCCGGCCTTAGCTTGGCTCGTTTCTTGCCAGCTTTTCTTAAATTATCTGGTCTCTCTTTGGCCTTGAGATTTTTTCTCTATTCCTGTATACCTTTCTTTCCTTCTTACTCCATGTCTGGTCGTGTGACTGGGTGGCTGGGTGGCCAGTCCCTGAAGTCCTCCTCCTTCCTCTCTCTCGTTCTTTGATCTTTCTTCCCAGATTTCTCCTTCTATAGATTCTCTCTGCCTGCCAGCCCCACCTATCCTTTCTCCTGCCTTGCTATTGGCCATTCAGTTCTTTACTGGACCATCAGGTGTTTTAGACAGGCACAGTAATACAGCTTCACAGAGTTAAACAAATGCAACGCAAATAAAATAACACACTGTAAATAATGTTCCCCAACACTGTCCTTTTGATTACATATTTGTGCCATGTCCTAGCACCATGAAGGTAATTCCTATACATGCTCCAATGATTTTTTCCAGTCCATAATAAGAGAATGCTGGTGCAGGGGGGGCATATCTACAAACGATAAATGTCCTCTTGCAAGGTATAATCTCAGTTGAATCCTGTCACCATTTCCAAGCAAGGGCAAGCTGCTCTCCTATAAAAAAGTAACAGGGGGATAGTTGTATCTGCTGGTCTGGAGTGTTCAAGGAGTTGGGGGGAATCTGTTTCCAAATTCATCCAGATGTCCCCTCCTAGACTTCAGGGTTCCACTCCTTATCATCAAAGATCTGCTGAGGCTGTACATACTCCATGTTTTTTGCACCTCAGCTACCCTTACAATTAGATTCTGGGTCTCATTTTCAGCACAGCCTGCTCTACCGCTGCAGAAGATGGCGGTCTCCTTGAACTGCTGCTCTGGAGGCCTCCTGGCTTTCACTGTGTGTCATGAATTGATAGACCCCTCCATCTTCTTCCTCCTAGGCTTCCAAAGCAGGTCCATCAGCCTCCTGATCCCACAGCTCCTTCACTACTCTTCTGGAGAGGCTGCATCGTTCAGCACCTCCTTTTTTACTGGTATGCATCTCAGTCAACCACAAGTAAGACTCTTGTCACTTTGATGTCACTGCCAGGCTAGGGCTAGTCAGCGTCTTGTCCACTAGCAGCAGCGGCACCCTTAGGGACAGCTGGCTGGTAACTGACATCTTCCAGCATCTCCCCTTGGAGGATCCATCTCCGGCTGTGACTCCTAGAATTCATTTTCTCACTTGGGCGTGTGTGTGTGGAAATTCATTCTTGGTGTGAGTCTAAGGAACGCGAGTGAGTGGATAGGATGGGTGAGGAGCTAGAATAAGTGAGCCAGTGGGGACTAGGACTGAGTTTATTGCTATGGACTGTGGGAACTCCATTTCAGAACTGCTCAGA